CCGCTCCGATGACTACAGTGAGGGCCCGGCGCTGCGTCGCCCATGCGGGGCAGACCGCCAGCGTATGCTGGGCCGAATCCTCACTGCAGTCGCAGTGGTGGCAGGCGGGACTCGATTCCCCTCCTAGCGACCGAGTACAGGTACTTTCCAAAGCAACCGTGCCCGGAAAGCACCTGTTGTCAGCCGGAAGGAAAGGGTCCCGTGCTGCCGCCCTGCCCAATCGGCGATGACCGGCTGGAGAGCCTCCACGGCGGCAAAGCCAGCGCGTGGAGTCTCCAGCCGGAACGACCATCTGACCAATGGTGGCTCGGCGAGCGGCTTCGCGCCACTCACGCACGTCTTCGGGCGGAGGGCGAAATCCGATCTCCGCCCGGAAAGTCAGCCACTCGCCGATAAACTTCGGCGAGCACTTCCGCCTCCAAATCCCACGGGGGTGTTCCGGCCAGGGCGCAAGCCGCCTCGGTGGACACCGTGCGGTATCCGCGTATGGCTCTGACCGCCAATATCCTCTGGGGGCGCCAGAGGCGCGCCCTATTCGGGGCGGTCCGAGCCGCCACCCACACCGGTGCACCATAAAGCGCCATGGACCGGACCGGACAACCCCGCGTACAGCCGCCTCGTGGGAACACTGGCCCCGCCCAAATTGGGCAAAAGTCGCCCTAGGGCGGAGGCAGTGTCCACCAGCTTCGGACCAAGCCGTCGGAAGTGCTCGTCGAAGAGCTACCTACCGTCTAGGACCAAGACCCAGGTACCTCATCTGGGCCCGGACCGGTACGAGGACCGAGCCGACCTTGATTGAGGCGGACCACGACGGGGCCCATGAAATAATAGGGCCTCCGTCTTATCCAGGGCCACCCGTAATCCCAACGCCTCAATGCGCCTGACCACCTGGGAAACTCCCGTGGCGGCCAGGCGCGCCGCCTCCTGGAAGTTAGCCCCCCGGGCCGTGAGTAAGGTGTCATCCGCGTAGCAGATTACACCCAGCCCGAGGGGGAGACGCCCTCGTAGGGCCCAGTCGTACCCGCTGTTCCACAGGAGAGGTCCTAGGACAGACCCCTGCGGACCACCGCACAACATAGCCCTGCGTCTCAAGACGCCATCTCGGTCCTCGTACATGACGGTTGGCTCCTCAAGATAGTCTGCCACCAGCCGCCTCAGGTACTCTGGCACTCCGTGGTAGCGGAGCGCTTCTCTGATGCAGCTGAATGGCAGACTATTGAAGGCGTTGGCGATGTCCAAGGACACCGCCAACACCACTCCGCCGCAGCTCACGGCCTCCTCGGTCACGGCCCTAAGGCGCATTACGGCATCGATCGGAAGCCCTTCTAGGAAACCGAATTGGGCGTCCGACAGATCGGAGCCAACCTCGCAAAGGTGCCGGACGATGCGGGCAGAGAGCACCCTCTCAAAAAGTTACAGGCCTCGTCCAGCAACACGATAGGCCTATAGGCCGTGACCGATTCGGCAGGCCATCCCGGCTTCTGCAGCAGGACCAGCGTCCCGCATTTCCAGCGCTCAGGGAAGCGTCCGGACGCCAGGCTAGCGTCCAACACTTCCCTGAGGTGGTCCGACATGTAGTCGAGGGCTCGGGCCATCACTCGGGCTGGAACCCCGTCCGGCCCGGGGGCGGTGTTCTTGGATCGAATCCGTAGAAAAGCCGCCACCCAACTCCGATTCCCTGACGGGCGGAACATCAGCCTCGCTGCCCCCGTCGTCTCCGGCTGATGCAGCCATCGACGGGGGGTGTGTGCTCCGCCCGCTGCGGGAATAGGCCCTCGACCACTTCCTGCAGGAAGCTGGGCTGGAGATTCTCTGTAAGGGGGGGGCCCCGACGTGCGGAGCTTTTGACGCACCGCACGATAAGGGCAACCCCAGGGGTCACGCTCGAGACCTCTCCAGCATCTCCTCTCTACCACGCATCCTTAGCGCGGCAGATGGCCAGCCTCAGAGTTTTCCGAGCTTCTCGGTACTCCTCAGGCCTCAGGCCTCAGGCCGCTCGTAGGTCCGCCAACTCCTGGGACCACCAGTAGACCTCCTTCCTTGGAGGCCGACAACCACGAACGCGGGGCATGGCCGCATCGCAATCTGCGTAATCGCATCGCAGAAGCGACCAGCCCCCATGTCGACCCTCCTCGGTCGGGGCCTGCGAAGACAGCCAAGAGTGCGGTGGAACTCTGCCGTCTCCTTCTGTGAGCAAGTTATGCTCGCGAAGGAGACGGGCGGAGCGGGACCGGGGAGAGGGTTTAGGACTCCTCCCGGCCCGCCAGGCCCGGGAACGGGCCAGGTACCGCAGGCGACTCAGGCGCCGGAGGTCGCAGAACGACCTCCGTCCTCCATAAGCGCAGGCCTGGGGGTGACAGGTGAGGGCCATCTGTCACCCTAGCAGAAGCAGGCCGGGGTGGCGGCGAGCGCGTTGCGAAGCGCGCTCGCTTCCAGGGAGGACAGGGAACATGGGTTCCCACACGGGGGGGGGGGTCGTCTACTCGTCTGTAGATGACCCGAGGTATGTCGGTGGCACCAGGGACTTCCTTTCTAGGGTATACCTGGTTCCCCGGCTATTAGTACCCGAGACGGCGTGCGGTTTTAGTCGGTTCGAGTCCGACATGCCACCGACAGATGGTATCCGAGGGGATTTCCGCACGAAAAAAAAAAAAAAAAAAAAGGGGTAGCGAACGAAAGGTCCACTATCGACCCCCCTTGCTGTCGCACGCACGTGTTGGTGGAGCCCCTGTTCAGCAAACAGAGGCCCACCGACGCCGCCCACTCCTCGACGGCTTCGCCCCCTGGCGTCCGTCAACGAGGACGTACCCAGACACTAGTCGCCGCATCGAGGCCTCCCAAGTTGTTAAGGAAGACCTCGAAGTCGTTCAAACTCCGGTTGGGGAGAAATATACACCCATAATGGTGATTCCCCCCCAATCCGCGGCAACATATCCAGTACCCTTGTCTCTCAGCGACAAGGGCGGGGAATGAGCCGCCGTAGAGCCGACGACTGCCACGGAGCCGTCCCGGTCACCCATCCAGTTTGGACGGGGAGGAACAAAATAGGGCCTCCGCGACTACGGCAACACCTATCGACCACTGTGCCATGGTTTGCAGGAAGAGATCCTGCGCCGCGGCACAGTGGTTGAGATTCGTCTGGATCAGGAGGTTGGAGACTTGATCCATTACTGGATCGTCTCTCCAACCTCCTCCATGGGCGTCGGCGTCGACGCAATATTGACGTCGGGGGTAGCCTGGGTCGGCAGGTTAGACCCCGGCGTTTGCCGAGAAGCGCGGGGAGGCTTGCAGCCCCCCTGCCCCATCATGTGATTGGCGCGCTTTTTACCCGCCTCACACACCGGGCAGTGGGGGGCGGCAGAGCACTCCGCCTTGTGCCCGGGTTGACCGCAGCGGAAGCATAAACCGCTGCAGTCAAAGCAGCTCTCGCACTTGGTGCAAGTGTGTCCCGCGGCTAGGCACTTGAAGCACCTCATCGGCCTCGCGGCCAGAACCGTGATTCTGGCATTCACGAAGCCAACGAGAATGCTTCCGGCGTCACCCAATACTTTGGCCGACGCCACGGGACAGCTCACCCACACCGCACCGAGGCCTCCCGGACCCGGACGGACGGTGCCGACTCTGATGGTGTCCGCGGTGCACCCAGTCTTCTCCATGACTGCATCGCGGACATCCTCCGACGTGATGGAGTCGTCCAGGCCCGAGATGCGCAGTTCTGCGCATTTGGTGGGCCTGGCGATCCTCACACCGTCCGTGGTGGCGAAAATTCCCCGCAGCTTCTCGGCGAATTTGTCGGCCGTCGCCGCGCCTTCAGCCCCAGGGAACTCGAATACTCGGGCTCCCGTCCGGGCGCGGCGCAACCTTATCCCTGCCGTCCCGAACTCAGTGGCGAGACCGGGACGGGCCCCTTTAAAGAGGGCCGCCTCCGGCGACAGGGTGACGACTACAGCCGCGGTTTTGGGCGGCTGCAGCTTCCGCGGCCTCTTATTAGAGGCCATTGCCACCGGTGGTGAAGGCTGGGCATGGGCTGCTTTCTGAAGCAGCCCTTCTAGCCCGCCTTCGGGACTTCTTTGAGCCCCTCACCTCTTGCCAACCCTCGTTGGAGGGGGCGGGTACGGAGGGGCCCGGCAGGGGTGTCGGAGTGGGGAGCGGAGGGAAAGCCACTCCGCTCCTCTTCGCCGCTTTAGGCCCCGTCTTGGCCGGCGCCTTGGCCGGCGCCTGGGCCGGCGCCTTGGCTGGCCCCTCTGCCGGCGCCTTGGCTGGCGTATGGGCCGATGCCTTGGCCCCCCTCCTCGGCCTTTGGGGAGCCGGTGGAGACGGGGCCGACGGTGCCGCCGCGTAGGAGACGCGGCTTGCCACAACGGGGAGCGCGATCGTCGCAGCGGCCTTAGGCGGCTGCGACGACGCGAGCGGGGGGCGCACAACCGGCGCAGGGGGGCAGTCTCGCCTCCAGGCCGGCCAGAACGGCCGTCCAGCATACGCCCAACTGCGTCAAGAAATTCACGCAGCTGGGCGTCAGACACCCCTGAGTTGGTGGTAGGGGTAGGCCTGGACGCGGACGGGGCCTCCCGCGGGGGGAGGCTCGTCTGGAAGCGGGCAAACTGAGCGCTCAGCTCGTTTACTCGCTCCGTTAGCCTCTCGTTGCGGTCTGCAGGCGAGCCATCTCGCCTGTCAGGTCCTCCACTACCTCCGACACAGCGGAGGAGGAGTCCTTAAGGGCCCTCACAAAGGAGCCCTTAAGGTTCACGGACTTGGTGGCCACCTTTTTTATGATGTCCACCGCCGCTCTCGCCCTCTCCCGCACAGACACGGGAACCCGGGGGGCATCTCCCTCCACCGGCTCCCGAATCTTAAGCAGGAGATCTTTGATCTCCTCCTCCGCTACGGCTTCGCCTTCCGCTCAGGCCTAACCTCCCCCTCCGACAACCCCCCTGTGCCTTAATATTCAATTCTGAAGGGCGGGCATTGTATTGAGGCTCTTGATCTGCAGTTTGAAAACCATGCACAAGGGCCAGCTCTTTCGGCGTTTCACTGCATTTCATTTAGTAAGTGATTTTTATAGGAGGCCGAACCTCTCCTCGCATCCCCCCACCCCCTACTCCTTACCTAAATGGTAAGGAGTAGGGGGTGGGGGGATGCGAGGAGAGTCTGAAAGGTGGGGCGCCCACTTGTGACTCTTGAACTGCAGTAGAAAAACCGGATCGGCACAATGGGCCAGCTCTAACAAAGTGATTCCACCACCTCCAACGCCTCATGAAAAAACCGCCCCCCTCTCTTCTGGTCTTCCCCCTTACCCCCTCCCTCTTATCACTACCACCACTCGCTTGTGGCTCTTTAGCTGCCGCTAAAGCTGCTGTAAGGGGCCAGCACGGAAACTGTTAAGCAATTCTTTAGTTGCATTTCATCGACCGAGCAGGTTACCGGAGCCCACAACCCGCCGATTCCGGGGAAAGGAGCTCAACGGGCGACACTTGTGACTCTTGAGTGTCCATGGGCGGAAGTAATCACTTACGATCTGGTTACCCGTCTGCTCGGTTAATCCTCTACCATGAAAGGAAAAAGTAAATGTGACCCTATATATGGTTATTTGTCAATTTCCCGTCAATCATTATTATAACCATGGTACAGCTATGCTCCAGGTGACCCGTCTACACGTCTTTTTTATAGCCAACAATCTTCCTGGCACAAGCACTGTTCAGGAACACCACAGACAGAAATCTTGGTTGCATTTCATCAAGTGAGTGTATCCCCCACTGGGGGGAGGGGGGAGACACTCAGAGGCTTAGGCGCTTATGACGTATGAGTTGCAAGTGTCCACGAGCGGCGGCAGTCACGACCATCAGGTGACCCGAAATTCATTTGACACTTTTAAGACTCTCGATCGTAATTGACAACCGTGATGGAGCAATGATTTTAAATGCAAAAAAATGATTAGTGATGAAATTAGTTAAATAACAATATCCGTTGGTCGGTTAGTGTTAAAATATGACGACATTATTTTACAAAGGATCTACCCCCACTATTAGCACACCAGACCAGCCGAACTGCTTCTAAGTCTAATACCCTTTTACTTCTTCCTATACATAGTCTTTCTTTTTAAAGTTAGTTTCCTCTTTTTTGTCATCAGGTACTTACTCTCGAAGGTCCATGGTCAGAGCGTGATGCACAGATGACGGAGACTTTCGCCCGGTTACAGGACGTCTATGGAGCTGGCAAGGTCCTAGGTATATTAGGTATGTCAACACAATCAGTGTATGTTTCTCTGCGGCTTTATTCACTAAGGGGAGGGAGGATAAGGAGAGCGAGGAGAGAGGTGATATAATTTGCAGTTGAAATTTTGAATTATACAAGGATTTTTATACGATTTGTAGGTAACTCAGTATCCCAGAGCCAGTCCGTAGATTACGTGGACGGTGAACCTTGGGCGAGAGTACGACGACAAGCGTTCACTAATGACACCATTAGTACTTCGGATGAGGACAAACCTCAAAAAAGACAGAGATATGCACTGTACAATGCAACAGGTAAGTCTCATAATTTGTGTAAATAGGGTGATAATATACTATGTATGAAACAAGGAGAGATTATTTCTATTTTTTTATTCAGGCCCTGCTCGCGCCCCTCGTTCCTCGGCCGTCGTTCTCACTTTGACGGCGGAGGCAGCGGAGAGGGGCGTGGGGTACGCCGAGGTCTTGACGAAAGTCAAGGCCAACGTGGACCTCAAAGCCCTCGAGATTCCGGGCGTCCGGTGTAAAAACACACGGACGGGAGCCCGGCTCCTCGAGGTCGCCGGCGCTACCAGTGGCCCCAAAGCCGACGCCCTAGCGGCTAAGCTGAGGGAGTCACTGGATGCAGCTGACGTCCGAGTGTCCAGACCCACTAAATGCGCAGAAGTTCGCATTACGGGCCTGGACGACTCTGTCACGGCGGACGAGCTCAGACTCGCCGTGGCGGAGACGGGAAGCTGCCCTCTGGACAGCGTGAAGGCCGGAGCAATACGCTTCGGCCCCGGTGGACAGGGGGCAGCGGTTGTCAGCTGCCCCATCGCGGCGGCCCAGAAGGTCGCCGATGGACGGAGCCTCCTGGTCGGAGGTTTCCTGAGGGCGCAGGCACGACTCCTGCAGGCCCGACCGGCAAGGTGCTTCAGGTGCCTGTCGGTGGGTCACGTAGGGGTGCACTGCACGGCGGAGGCCACCGTAGGTGACCGATGCTTCCGCTGTGGCCAGCCCGGTCACAAGGCGGGTGGCTGCAACGCTCCGCTGCGTTGCTTTAGGTGCGCAGCGGGGGGGCAAGCCTGCCGACCACCGGGTTGGTGGTAAGGCCTGTGCCCTATCGCGACCGAAGCCGGGAGGCCGACCTTCCGCCTCCGAGCCGCTGATCCAGACGGAGAGTGCCGCTGGACAGCCGCAAAGTTCGCTGCGGGATGCGGGGATGGAAGTCCAGTGATGGATCCACATCTCCGCATCCTCCAGGTGAACGTAGGCCACGGTGCCGATGCTCAGGATCTTCTGCTCCAGAGCATGGACCAGTGGTCCATCAACATCGCCGCTATCGCCGAGCCATATGTCCATCGGTTTCTCGGGCCTGCCTGGGAGACCGACTTGGACGGCACGGCGGCCCTGGTGCACGGTACCGCAGCCGGCACTCCACCTCTTGCAGTAGTTGCAAGGGGACGGGGCTGTGTAGCGGCGATAGTTGGAGATATAGCGGTCGTGGCCGCTTATTTCACGCCGAACCGAAACCTAACTGAGTACGAGCAATGGCTCGCTCAGCTGGCCGTCGTCGTCGATGCCTGTCGCCCCCACCCGGTTCTTGTGCTGGGGGACTTCAACGCCTGGTCGCAGGCTTGGGGTTCCCTGCGCACGAACCCGAGGGGCAGGGCATTGGAGAACTGGGCTGAAAGATTCGGCCTAGTTCTCCTAAACCGGGGGGCCGTGGCCACGTTCGTGACGGCGAGGGGTAGTTCGATCGTGGACATCTCGTTCGCATGCCCCTCGCTAGCGCGTCGTGTCCAAGGCTGGCGCGTCGTTGTCGGGGAGGAGACAGGTTCGGATCACCGATATATTCGGTTTGACGTCTCCGCCCCTGCAGATGGCGCGCCGGTCAGACCGGCACCACCTGAACCACGTTGGGCGCTCAAGCGCTTAGATCGCGACCTCCTCCTGGAAGCCGCCATCGTACAGGCCTGGGCTCCTGCGCCGGACAGGCCTGTCGACGTCGATGCTGAAGCACAGTGGTTCCGGGAGGCCATGACCCGCGTCTGCGATGCGACGATGCCTAGGGCTCAGCCCAATACTGCAAGGCGCCAGGTCTACTGGTGGTCGCCGGAGATCGCACGGCTGCGTCAAGCCTGCGTGACCGCGCGCCGCCGGTGGTCCAGGTTCCGCAGGAGGCGTCGCCGCCCCGAAGATGCGGCAGCGAGAGAGGCGGAGCTGTTAGCGGGTTACAGGGTTGCCAAGAGGACCCTTCAGGCAGCGATAAAGCGGGCCAAGAGCGAGGCCCGCCGCGAGATGCTGGAGACACTGGAGCGGGATCTGTGGGGACGCCCCTACCGTATGGTTAGGGGCAAGATGCGCCCATGGGCCCCGCCGCTCACACGGTGTCTTCAGCCAGAGCTGCTTGAGAGGGTCGTTGGCTCCCTGTTCCCAACGCGAGTGGTGGAGCATACTCCGCCACAGATGGCTCCGCCTCCGGCGCTTGAGGCGCCTAACGTGGATGACGACGACGTGCCTGAGGTCACTGGGGTGGAACTAAGGGTGGCGGTGTTACGGCTTAAAGCCAAAAACACCGCCCCGGGACCCGATGGCATTCCTGGCCGAGCGTGGGTCCTGGCCTTAGTCGACGAGGCTCTCGAGCCCCGACTGCGAGGGTTCTTCAGCGCATGCCTCGAGCGGGGCCAGTTTCCGAAATTGTGGAGGACGGGGAAACTGGTCCTCATCCGAAAGGAGGGGCGCCCGGCGGACTCACCGTCCGCCTACCGGCCCATAGTGTTGCTTGACGAGGTGTGCAAGCTCTTTGAAAGAGTGATTGCAAGGCGCCTCGTCAAGCATCTCGTGATGGTTGGGCCGGATCTGGCGGACAACCAGTACGGTTTCCGTCAGGGGCGCTCCACCGTGGATGCGATCATGCGCGTGAAGGCTCTGGCGGAGGAAGCAGTCTCCCGGGGTGAAGTGGTGTTGGCGGTGTCCTTGGACATCGCCAACGCGTTCAACACTATGCCCTGGAGCTGCATCAGGGAGGCGCTCGTGTATCACGAAGTGCCTCTCTACCTCCGCCGCATAGTCGGGGCATATTGTGTCGGAGAGAGCCGTCGTCTACCCCAGTAGGACCGGTCTCGGTAGGCGTGAAATGTCGTGCGGTGTTCCGCAGGGGTCGGTGTTAGGGCCACTCTTGTGGAACATCGGCTACAACTGGGTGCTTCGTGGTACCTTCTTGGATGGTGTCGCCGTCGTGTGCTACGCGGACGACACACTCGTGACGGCGCGCGGCAACACGCACCACGAGGCAACCCTGAGGGCCACGGCCGGGGTTGCCCAAGTCGTTGAGCGTATCCGGCGGCTGGGTCTCAAGGTGGCTCTGCACAAGTCCGAGGCCCTGTTCTTCCACGGGCTTCGGAGGAAGCCGCCTGAGGGATCTAGCCTCACGGTAGGAGGCACTCGCATCGGCATCGAGCCCTCGATCAGGTATCTGGGGCTCGTACTCGATGGCCGATGGGACTTCGGATATCATTTCCGAGGTCTGGTCCCCAAGTTGGTTGGGGCAGCGCGTGCGTTGGCGCGGCTGCTGCCCAACATGAAGGGACCCGATGACTCCTGCAGGAGACTCTACTCGGGGGTTGTGCGGTCCATGGCCCTTTACGGGTGCCCGGTATGGGCGGGGGCCCTGAAGGCCAGCAACGTCGCGATACTGCGACGACCGCAGCGAATGCTGGCCATCAGGATCATAAGGGGGTACCGCACGATCTCCTTTGAGGCAGCGAGTCTCCTGGCCGGAACTCCACCGTGGGACCTGGAGGCGAGAGCCCTTGCGGCACTGTATCAGTGGCGCAAGGAGGCGCAGGAGTTGGGTCGATGCCCCGAGATTCGAGAAATCGATGACCGGAAATCCCAACTCCGCCAGGTCATCATAGGGGAGTGGAGGGAACGACTCGGGCAACCGAGCGCTGGGCACGCCGTCATTGCGGCGGTAAGACCCGTGATGGAGGATTGGCTCGAGAGGCGTCACGGGACCCTCTCATACCGATTGACGCAGGTGATCACTGGGAAGGGATGTTTCGGAGATCACCTGTGTCTGATCCGCAAGAAGCCAACGCCTGAGTGCCACCACTGCGATGGCCAGACCGTGGACACGGCTCTCCACACGCTGGCAGAGTGCCCGGCGTGGGTTGAGCAGAGGCGAGACCTCGTGGCGGCCATCGGAGTGGGAGTTCTCTCGCTCGATAGCCTGATTGCGGCTATCGTGCGGAGCGAGAGTGCGTGGAACTCTGCCGTCTCCTTCTGCGAGCAAGTTATGCTCGCGAAGGAGACGGCGGAGCGGGACCGGGAGAGGTTTAGAACTCTCCCGGCCCGCCAGGCCCGGGCACGGGCCAGGCAGCGCAGGCGACTCAGGCGCCGGAGGTCGCAGAACGACCTCCGTCCTCCATAAGCGCAGGCCTGGGGGTGACAGGTGAGGCCATCTGTCACCCTAGCAGAAGCAGGCCGGGGTGGCGGCGAGCGCGTTGCGAAGCGCGCTCGCTTCCAGGGAGCACAGGGAACATGGGGTTCCCACACGGGGGCGGGGGTCGTCTACTCGTCTGTAGATGACCCGAGGTATGTCGGGGCACCAGGGCCTTCCTTTCTAGGGTATACCTGGTTCCCCGGCTATTAGTACCCGGCGAAGGCGTGCGGTTTTAGTCGGGTCGGGTCCGACATGCCACCGACAGGTGGTATCCGAGGGGATTTCCGTATATTGCTGTATTCATCGGGTTGGCCAGAACTTCGACGCATTAATGGAACTACCATACGTTTGAGCACACCTGTCGGTTCACCAACCATCAAACCAACTAGACTTTACACAATGCTGGTGGTGCGATTTGTCAATACAGAGAGCAAAGATCCCAAAGACAAGGTAGGTGTATTTCCACGAAGATATTTCACGAAACTGTAGAAAAGTAATGTTTGGAATTTTATTAACACATAATTCTAATTTTTTAGATCACCTTGGAATTTCGCTTCAAGCATTCAGCTGGCTGGTGGACGGCAGTGGGTGTTGAAGTTAAATTTAACTTGGAAACGACAGGGCTTAGTCTTACTGCGCCACCTCCACCTGACGCACCATCAGCAGTACTGGGTCGTTCGTACCATTGCTCTCTGCCACTGGTGTACTCGTCTGATGAAGCTACATTGACGTTACCTAATATACACGTATGTCAACACAATCCAGCATTTTTCACAAGTTGTTTCTGCTTTGGCATATTGAGTCTTAACCACACATTATTTGACTGAACATTCTTCTTCTTGTTTCAGGTGCAAATGTTTATGGATAGTACGGAAGCATTTGATGATGCGTTTGACTGTATTGGATTTACTACTGTGCCCATCTGGTAAGATTTAATTCACTCAAATAATCTCTCTTCCTTTTTTTTTGTGTTTACAATACTGTATTTTAATTCTCTGCTTCGTTCTCAGGTCTGGTTTGTTGGCGACCTTCATTACGCTGATATTCCTTGGCATTACCATCTCAATGATAATGGACATCAAAACCATGGATTGCTTCGAGACCAAAAGGTGCAGGCAACTCACGATTACAGTCAGTGAATAAGCTAGTGTTGAGCGGTTTATAAGATTGTCTTCAATTTAATAATAATTTTATGTTTTTTGATTGGAAGCCCTTCAAGCTAAAACTTTCTTGGACTGACGATGAAGTTGTATAGTATGTCGGACTTGATTGATCTACGTCACACGATTTGCTGTGAACTGTAGTGTGAAATTTGGTACCACATCGTAAAGTCCGGAAAGTTTTATCCTCTTTCGGTTATAGTCACACCAGGAATGTAACTAAAGCAGGCATGACATGACACCACTGTATCATCATTATCGTCCGGCGTGGTCAAAATTAGTTGCATCCGACCTCGCCCGGGGTCAGCTTTTCGGCTCTTTTTCCTCCAACTCGCACCATGGATAGGTCATTGATATTGAAGATATTGTCACGCATGTCATCACTTACTATGTCTAGCCAGCACTTCTTGGGTATACCCCACCTACCAGTGGAGGCGACACTTATATGACTTATGCGCAATGGCACGGACATGAAGGTTACCGGGGATGCGATGGATGAGTTCCTTACACGGTCCTTACACATCCAACGTTTAGACCGCCGTTTTCAAGCGTCCCCTTCTACATCTTTACAAGTCGGACCAATCTTCCTTTGTCCATGTCCAAGCGCGATATCGTCAGCATACATGACATAGACGGTGCTCATGTAGACCGCTGCCGAATAAGCACCGAGATGGACTGACGACTGATCCTTGGCAAACCCCGACGGTGATGGGGAAGGGTTACGTGTTACCAGTAGCGGTCGAAACGGACTCGCGATACATGTCCCGGATGATGTGAATGTAAGTTTCCGGAACCCTTCCGACTGCAGTGCCACGGTTAGAATGTTTCGATAAGATGCCGACACCGCGATGACACGGCGCCAAGGACCCCTCGACCTATCCATGCCTCGATGTGGACTCCGTAAGCTCTGACAGCTTTCCGATTCATCAAGCAAACTGTAGTCCCATCTGAACTGTGTCGATCCACCACCAAGTTTCTTTGTCACACTTGCGTCTACCCTTAGGCACGCCAAGCATCGGCTTAGCCGCTCGAAGTACACCTGCCTGAATCTTGTTTTAGTAATCCTGAACAGGTTCCACCCAACCTGGCCTGGCTTCATCAAGCAATGACAGCGCCGAATCAGGTTTTCCTTTGGGCTTCACACAAAGATTCATGACAAGGATATGTGTTGCGCAGTGAGACTCTCTCCGGGTAGGACCTTGCAGTTAGCCACTCTGCTGATATAATGCATCCTAGTGAGTAGGAAATCGATTTGGCTAACTCGACCCCCTGTAGGTGATAAGATGACATGACGTCACTTGTGTTTGCTTTTGGTTCTGCGGTGGACCAACTTGAACAGAATAATTTATTTGTACCTTCCAAGTATTTTTAAATTATGCAATAAAAATTGTTGCCTAACCACGGGTTTGACTTTTAAGTTGAATGACTGCTGCAGTGATGCCATTCAGCTAGATACGAGAGTTGGCGATTTTAAGTTTACGTAGATAGCTGCTTACGTAAACTTCTAATCGTCAACTTCAGTACTTACCGTCAACCGGGCACTTCAGGAATTAGGGAAATTTGTGAATTTAATATGGAAGGAAAAGTTTGTATGACGGGAAAGGGATATTGCTGTCACGCGTGGATTGGGGAGAGTAAAGAATAGTTCAAGCAGATCAGGGTCGTATACCTCTATGCAATATAATTGCATTCCAAAATTCCATTATGAGAAAACAGTTATGGGAGTAAGCACTGGTAAATGCCAACAATCGTACATATCTGTTGTTAATTGATTGCGATTATGGAATACTGATACTTGTTTGAATTGCAAAAGAGTGGCCATGAGTTTGTTTGCCCTTTCTTCTCATAAGGCTCAACCCCTTGGAAACGGGCGGTTGTAGATCGGCACAGGCATATCATAGATTTTGTATGGGTTTGATTTTTGTTAAATTTATTTGGTTACTATTTGACAAAACAGAGATTGTTGATTTTGTGTGTGTTGATCTATGACTTTAGAGTCTACATGGAAGACGATTTCAAACAATTTTGGAAATTTTATGAAATAAAGAAAGTTTGAGTTTGAGTTTGAGTTTGTTGCAGTAGTTTTTTTGACTCATATTTCAAATCTGTGGTTAATGTTGGTAAAATTGACGTAGTCAAATGTTCTATTGACGATGGAATCTGTAATATTTAAGAACGGGGTCGAACACGTTTTCTGGGTTAATTGAAGTGGTTCCAAGGACTCAGCAAGTTTGTTCAGCTCATATTAGCTTCGGCGTTTGTATTTAGAGTCCGTATTTTAATGAATATCGTGAAGACGTGTTTTGACTACTTCAAGTAATTATAAACTCTTACATGGTTGGATGATACACCTAATTTATCTGTTATGGGTTAGTTGCTTTGTCCATAACATTCAGGTCCTCTTATCTCCCATGGAATTTGTATATAATTCCTCATGTGTGGATATTGAATGGACTAGTTCCAGTGTATGAATGGAGTAATATTTGTATTGTGTGTGATACGGACGGCACTGTAAATACGCACAATTGTATCATACATTGTTATTATTGAGTTTAAAATGAACCAATTGCTTTTAGATTGGTAAGGTGCTTGAGTTTTTCTGTTCCTCAGCTAGAATGCAGGCACATCTTGACCTTGATTATGTAATCAGCCAATGCTGTCATTACGTCAATTTCCTGTTTATTCTAGCTGCGGGGTTGTATATTGGGGTTTTTATTCTCTTGTTATAGGCACAGGTCTTACTTTAAAATATGTTTGGACAAGATCATGATTATTTATACATAATCAAGTGTTTGTTTTACTAACTTTTAAACTTTCGCGTTCCATGATAATTAATATTATTTAACGGGAATTAACGCGATCTCTTATTTAGGGTATTACATACCTCTGGTTTGCCTGACGTTTCGACCAGGTTGCACCGGCCGTGGTCACAGGCTGACTGGCTCATCGGCGCACGCCCTCCGTCGTCGAATCCGTGAAGTAGAAGGCTCTTCATCTACCCGCACATTTTCGATATTATTTTTGTGTCGCCATGTACCGTCACATACCACACTAACAGTGTCCCTATTCTGTAAGCAAACCGATGAGTCCCTATTCTGGTGTTTAACCGATTGCGCAGAAAAGCGAGGTGGTATGTTTTTTAACACTGGATTCCACGCTGTAGATAATTTAAAACCATCTTCCCGATTGAAAGTTTTATGCTTTTTAATCTCAATCGCTTCACGTACAACTCTTGAGTAAAAGTGACGTTCGGTGGAGAGGACTTGCGTGCGGTGAAATTCAATCCAGTGGTTGATGCCTGCATCGAGTGCATGTTCTGCAATCGCTGATTTGCTCGTCTGTCGGTTCTTCACAGCAGCGATATGCTCTTTGACCCTTTCTGCAATAGTCCGCTTAGTTTGGCCTATGTATGAGCTTCCGCAGCTGCAGTCTATTTTATAAACACCCGGAGTTTGTAGTGGCAATGTATCCTTCGGTGTGCCGACGATGTTGTGAACCTTTATGCCTGGTGTGTATACTGTCGGAATGGAATATTTCTTTAGTACAGACCCGATCTTGTCCGTAACTCCCTTGACATAAGGCATATAGGCCGGTTGCCTGTTCACTTCTGGATACTTGCGTCTTATTTTCGGTTGCTTCCGTCCTCCTTTCACTTGATATCCGTTACCTTTGAGTACCTCCTGAACATGTTTTAGTTCCTGTTCTAAATGTTCAGGGTCACAGAGATCGTAAGCTCTGTTTTTGAGTGAAGTCATAACAGATTGCAAGTGCCGGGGGTGATGATGAGACGTGGCGTGTAGGTATCTGTCCGTATGAGTAGGTTTACGGTACACACAGTGTGACAAGGACCCATCCGATCTCACGGCTACTTTAACATCTAAGAAAGACAACGACCTGTCCGTCTCCATTTCATATGTAAACCTCATTTTGGGGTGAATAGAGTTCAGATGTTGTATATATTGATCCACTTCTTGTTTGTTTCCTTTGACGATACTGAAAATGTCATCCACGTATCGCTTCCATAGCTTAACGGTATTCGGGCCGAGATTTAAAGCCTTCTCTTCAAAATGTTCCATCCAGATGTTGGCCAGTACTGGGGCTACAGGACTTCCCATCGCGACACCATCAATCTGGAGGTAATGTTGACCTTGGAAAAGGAAATAGTTGCCTTCTAAACAGTGTTCAAGTAGATCCATATAGTTTAAGGGCAGCTCGTTGTCTCTCAGTAGGTCTTTTACGACGTTTAGGCACTCCTTTATTGGAACATTGGTGAAAAGCGACTCTACGTCAAAGCTCACCATGACGTCATCCGGTTCCAACGTCAGATCTTTTATGATTTGTATGAAGTGCCGTGAGTCTTTCACAAAACAGCATCTTTCACAAGCAGGCATCAACCACTGGATTGAATTTCACCGCACGCAAGTCCTCTCCACCGAACGTCACTTTTACTCAAGAGTTGTACGTGAAGCGATTGAGATTAAAAAGCATAAAACTTTCAATCGGGAAGATGGTTTTAAATTATCTACAGCGTGGAATCCAGTGTTAAAAAACATACCACCTCGCTTTTCTGCGCAATCGGTTAAACACCAGAATAGGGACTCATCGGTTTGCTTACAGAATAGGGACACTGTTAGTGTGGTATGTGACGGTACATGGCGACACAAAAATAATATCGAAAATGTGCGGGTAGATGAAGAGCCTTCTACTTCACGGATTCGACGACGGAGGGCGTGCGCCGATGAGCCAGTCAGCCTGTGACCACGGCCGGTGCAACCTGGTCGAAACGTCAGGCAAACCAGAGGTATGTAATACCCTAAATAAGAGATCGCGTTAATTCCCGTTAAATAATATTAATTAAGTGTTTGTTTCCTTCCAATAAAGCGGTTTAAATTAGATGGGAATATATGATATGTTTGGGTATGGTAAATCTGTGCTCAAATAACAAGAGATATAAAATAACTCAAAAGAACATTCGCAATGGAT